TGTCTTCTGTGCATGTGACATATAGCTGCCATGCTGGTTAGCTTGAAGAAAGCATTTGATCTTTGTTCTTTTGACCAACCAACATGGCGGCCATGTCTTTTGTCCTTTTATTCTCATGAGAAAAGATGCATGCTACCTTCATGCAATGTTTATTGGCAGTTCCAGAAGATTTCTAGGGTGTTGAGGCTGTTGCTGAAATGCAGAATATCTTTTTATCCTCTTTTACATTAACTTTGCTTTGTAAGGTTGTGTGGTAATGATTGTGTAATTCCTTAGAAGAGCAAGCAACTAGCTATGCTCTTTACCAACCTCGTATCCACCTTTATTTAATGTCTTTTCTGTTTAGCCATTACCAAAACCTTCTGCGCATGTCACAGGATACAGCAAATCTGCAGCACCAAATCCACCGAAAGCAGGTAAACAAGGATTACGTGTTAAAATTTGTGTGGACAATGTAGGGTACATTTTTCACTCCTCACGGTGCCGTTACATTGAACGAACTCCCATCCATAGACAAATGATAGAATATTGAAGCTATTTGAGCCTGACATTACTTCACATTTCCCACATGATCTTCATGTATTGTTGCTAGCGATTGCTTCAAATAAGTATTCCAGATTTGCATTCTTGTTGTTGTTGCGAGCTGTGTTTACACAATGTGTGTATTTTTCCAATCTCATATCTAAAGGTTGGAGGACACAAAGCAGCCTGCAAGATTTCCCACTTGAGCTGCCTGCAGTTCGCTTGTTATACATTAGTTGTTGCCCACGCAAAGCAAAATAATAGATTACCAATCCTTACTAACTCTCCTAAAGCAAAAACCAATGTGATGCAGGAACATTTCACTGAAGGCTAGAAACAAGAGAAGTGCAAAATCTTCTTAAATGTTTTCTGTGCTTCATTTGTTTATTTCATTGTAGAGCAATATTTTTCAATTTCATATTTCCTATTCAGGTATTCTCCGGCACTGGGAAGGCAACCTTGGTCGGGCACATTCATTTGGAGGAATGAACTACAGAAATGGAGAATTGATCATACCTAAAGTTGGTCGGTACTACATCTACAGTCAACTGTACTTCCAAGCAGAGGATGACAAACCGCACCTAATTCATTACGTCCACCTGACAAGTAATAATGTCACTAATGTGATTATGAGAAGCGTCACGTCACGGTGTTCAACTAAGAACTCCAACATTCATCTATATAGTAGCTACCAAGGTGGCGTCTTTGCATTGAGCACAGGGGATAGATTATCAGTGGGTGTGTCTGAGGGCCACTCTGATTCTGTATCGATGGAAGAATCTGCCAGCTTCTTTGGTGCTTTTATGATCTAGCATACAAGTCCTTAGGGACTAAAGAGGAAGAAAATGCCGTTCTAGTGCATTGAATTATTTATCCTCTATTGGAATTGAACACATGAAGCTAATCCCAAGACCTAAAGTGTGTACAGGAAAATGGTGACAGAACAGACAGACAGACAGAATAAGAAGACCAACAGTGATGGTATCTGTCCAAAATTTGTAAATATCAGGTTTGTGTATGAATGCGGGGACTAAATATGTACACAACAGACTTCAAGACCTGTTGTAGGTTTCAATGAGAAGGGGGAGGGGGGAATGCCTTGCCATTTAGTGAGAGTCACTCGGAATTAGGTCTTTTTTAGCAATTCACTAAGAAATATGTAAAGCTTCATATGTATAAAAAAAAATTGACAAGACTTTCATGAATTAGAACAATTCAATTATACTCTGTATTCGATAGTAGTCAATATTTTTAATAAGCAATATTACTTATTGTAGATGGTTAAATTTTTTAAGTATATAGTCGTCATGAATGTTATATTGGTTAGTGTTTTTGTGTATGCGTTGGTCGTTATGTCATCATCACCTTAAACTTAATTTCATTTTGATAAAATACAACTTATTTTTTTATTTTTTTTTTTAAATTAACAAATATAATGCACTAATGCTAACCAAATGCAAGCCTTGTGTAACAACAAGCAATAGAAAAACCAGTAGAGTGAGTAACGCACGGGTTGCTGTAGCTTGTAGGACAGTCAGAAACTTGCTGTACAAGAGTCGTCCATATTAATTATGTGTCAGTTGACGTCAGATATGACATAGCTTTGTATAAAGTAATGATGTTTTAAAAGCACCAATGTCTTTGTACTCAATGAGAACATGTTGCTATAGCACTAGGCATTGCTCACCTACTCACTTTGCTGTGTTTGCTTACACAAGGCACCTAATAAGACTAATGCATCTATAAGCACCAATAATGTCACTGTACTCAATGTGAACATGTTGTGACTCTAGGCATTGCTCACCTACTCACTTTGCTGTGTTGCTTACACAAGGCACCTAATAAGACTAATGCATCTATAAGCACCAATAATGTCACTGTACTCAATGAGAACATGTTGCTATGACTCTAGGCATTGCTCACCTACTCACTTTGCTGTGTTGCTTACACAAGGCACCTAATAAGACTAATGCATCTATAAGCACCTTAGTACCTTAATACCAAGCATCAAGACAACTAATCACGATAAAGTCCTTTTAATGAGTTCTTTATCATTAAGAAATGCCACTCACGGGTTTGTGCATACCAGATCACCCCAAAGCTTCCCATAATGCACTGTAATCCATTAACAATATTGTAGAATCTGGCCGGTAGCCCGTCCAGTGTACTCAACTAATACGATAGTTTTACTATCTTTATATACGATATATAAACATGTCATGTTACATCCAAACTGGAATCTAATATGTCAAACTTGTGTCAGTTCAAGAGAAAGTAACATTGTATTCAGTGTCTATTGTGTTGAGGCAAACTTGTCTGGGTAACAGACTCGATTATTATTATATTAATTATTACTGATATTATACCTCATTTTTGGATTCTCACAGCATGATTGTGAATAGTCACTTACATCTTTTTTATGCATCTTGGAATTCACTTGTTTTGCAGCCTTCAAGCTGAGTCCTAAATATAAGTTTTTCCCCCAATTTTGAATATTTTTTAGCTCATTTGACTAAATCATTTTTGCAGAGGTCACTCGGATCAAGTTTGCCTTAATTCAAACTATCATAATTTAACTTCAACAATTGAAGGCTTGGAACAGATGTTGACTTTGACAAGACACTTTGTCTGGTCAAAGCAACATCTAGACCACAAGAAGCCCAAGCTCTAACTTCGACCAGGTTTCATTGCTTGGGCTTCCTGTGTTTAGATATTTCTCCTAGAAATGACGCATCTCAAAGATGATTTTTCCCATTTGTTTTCAAAAAATAATTATACTTGCTCCCAGCTCATTTTCTTTCTCTTCTCAACAAAAGCGAGTGAGATTGGAAACTAATCATACTTTCCAGTTCTCAAATAGCTCCTCTTCCAACGGAAAGTAAAAGGGCTTGGTAACGAGAAATCTTGATTCATTTTGAGTGCATCTTTCTGTAATATATTAATTTGCTAATGATTATTAATCAAATTATCATTTAAAAATTAATCGCATTTATAACCAATAATAATCATGATTTTATTAATCAATTAATGAAAAGCGACGTGTGGTACCAATCTTTTTCATCTGTTGGTTACAGGCTTGAATACCTTATGTATGGAGTTTGGGCTGCCCTTTGACTTGCAGTAATACTGCCAAAAAAATTCACATTTTTGTGTAATATTTGTTGCATTGCAAATTGCAAAATAGAATGAATTTTTACCCACAAGCTTCTCAAAAAAAGTCTGTTATCAGTAAAAAAAGGTTCGATACAACGCGCAAGGAACATACATTCCTAAGCGAATACAAGACTGCTCCATTTTTTCGTGGAGTAGTTACATCCATGCCTGTTAATAGTGCTACGCTGCGCAGATAAATATCTTAGGCAACTGCTGTTTTAACAGTTTATGGTAGAGTTGGATTGTTTTTGTACGATTTTAGATATTTTTTGACGTTGAATTCTGTAGCATTTATAGAGTACTCCATATTTTAAAATTACACGTCAAGTATCAGTAACGTAGTTATGGTAACATATCCATGCATTATCGTTTATATACCTTAAATAATTTCCTACAAAGACCGATCGTAATAGGCATTTTTAAATTCAGCGTCCTAAAGATGGTTCAGGACGGTCAGTCGCGACAAGTCAGCATTCGCGTCGCACACACATACGACCACATCCTCTTTGATATAAAAATACGAGTACAGTGGATTGTCGTACGATGCCCGATAGAAGTCGACGTATCTTCGTGTGCGTTTGGCTGTTGTATCTCGGTCGATCCTTCCATTTAATTTAGGAAGTATATATGTAGGAGACTGGTAACGAACATATCCCGCATGGAACTGTGGGTCCGTATTGCGAGCGGCGAAAAACGTCCGCCATTTTGCGCATGCGTACATCGATTAGTTCTCACAATTTCAAGCGGAACTTTCTGAGCCATTGTTTTTAACTTGATAAGATTTAAAAAGTGTACACGTTCGAATTCATAGATAAGTATAATAAACGAATTGAAAATATAGAAAATAAATTGTAAGTAGAGCTATTTTTGTACTACAAACGAAGAAAAAGAAGTTAAGTGTTTGTTTGATAATAATTGTGCTTTCGTAATTTGTCATTTGTACCTGACATTTTTCATGTTTTTTTTTTTTTTAATGTCAGTTTTTTAGTAATTAGTAATTTTAATTCGAGAACTTGGGGTAATTTTAAGCGTATCTCGTAAGATAATCTCACTTAACTCAAACGAATTCTTTTGAGTACAAAAAGCCCTGTTCTGTGATTATTCGGCTTTTATTGATCGATTATTTTGCCATTACACTGAGAGATTGATATGTAATGCGCTTTAATCTACCCCAGTTTAAAGATTTGATACTAAGGTTACTGACTGGTATTATATTCGTTTGGTGGGTAGACCTGGGGGGAAACAAAATCTCAACCCAGGTTTGAGAGTGAAGCATACACGGATACGAGACCAAACCAAACCTTAGTAAGCTGAACAGTTCAGTGTATTACTTCAAATAAATGTTTCTAATGACACTTGACTTCAATTATGTATAAATTATAGTTTCATCATAAGGGGATATTTTTTTAGAAAGTAATAAAACGCTACCCAGATAATCCTAAAACGTTTTCGTTTTTGATAGAGTAGTTCAGTTTGTTATGAATACTTGTGCTAAATCGTCTTAGGACAAAGAAGTTCGTGACAATAGACCTCAGACTTTCCGAAATAAAAGCATTCTTAATGTGTTCGGTAATCCAAATTTAGGGATTTGTGTTTTTTGCCCTTTTATTATTTTAATTGGTATTTTAGGAGGAAAACATTGTTGGTTTTTTGTGCTCTTTAATCTTATTCGTGGTAAATTGTATAATTTTTTATGTACAGATTTCAAGCACTTAATCCAGAGATGCTAAAAACCGCTCGTTTTTTCCCTTTCCTTTCGGCCATTTTGAAAAGTAACTTAGCCTCCTACACAAAATTGACGCAATAACGAAAAGAGGCTTGGTGACTTTTCAAGATGGCGTCAACGAAACTTACGTTAATAATATTGATTTTTTCGACTTCCCCTGCCCTGGAAATTTAAGAGTGTTGGGATTATTATTGATTTGCTTTTTCGATAAAAGCATAAATTTAACCAACTGTTTTCTGCACTTAACATCGATAAAATGCTGGCACTTTGAACCTTAGTTATCTCCATAAAGACCACTTCGAAAATTATCTTGTGTAAGAGAACTAGGCAGGAAAAGAATACAAAAAAATCATTGAAGTTTGAGGGGTTTTTTTTGTATTCGTTGTCCCGTTGGGTTCTTTTCTCCAAATAATTTTCAAATTGGTTTGTCTATTTGTCATTTCAAGTATCGAATTAAGGATTTGTAGTCAAGTATATGCCAATATGCAACTTGTAAACATATTAGAAGTAGAACTACTGTAGTTAGCACCTGTAAATCTAAGCCATGCATTGTTTAATCTTTACTATGTAAAGTTTCGCGCAGAAACAGTCTGCCCTTATTGTTAATTCAAGGGCTGGTTTTAAAAATAAAAGTGTAGCAAAAATGTTGATGTTTGTTTTCTTTTGAAATAGCGGGCCGACTAGCTTGAGTCGATAGATTCTTTTTCGCTATTTTGGATTTGGCAAGAAACAGAATGTAATCGTGGTAGTCTTTGTGGAGGTAACCTCTTGGAAGAGCCCCTTATGGGGAGTGGTGGTTTCAAAATATGTACGATTGTCGCTTTAAAAATAGGATTATTTTTTTAGCTTAAGGTATGACCTTTCTTTAGTTCGCTTTAGATTGTCATGCAATAGGCCTTTTGCAACAAACAGTCACGTGTGGATATATGACTGCTATTTTTGAAAAGGGTTTTGATATGACATTAGTAATCCAGCAAAAAAAATCTTTAAATGAAGAGTCCAATTTGTTTTGCCATCCAGTATCAATTACGTGTCAATCTATTGCAAACTTCACCAACAACATTTGTTGACCTATACCAATGCGTTGACTGTATTTTTCAGTATAATTATAAGAAATATAACGTACGCTTCTCCATGGTACATTAGTGCTTTACATATTTTTCTATTCTAAATGCGGCTGTTAACGAAGTCGATGCCTGTATTCGAGTAGCTGTTATTTATGTAGCCTTTTTCTAACGTGTTGGTTGCCCTTGGCAATGGAACCATTTTTTGTGCGTCGTCAATGATGTCATCAACTCCACCATGCCATCGACGTCTCTCTTCCATCTCTTCTTGCCTTTAAAGCCAAGGGCAAAGAAATTTAGAATAAACGCAGAGAAGTGAAAAAGGAATGACATGAATGACATGCTCATGTGAGTCTACTTTTGGGCAAAACAAGTTCATCTTTGGATCATTGATGAAAATAGACAAGCTTTTCGCTGGCCATRTTTTGCGCATGCGCACTCGCGCGTCATGACAACACCAAGCAGATTTCAAACACACATCAAATAACTAAACGTTTGTCAAAATAGATCGGAAACACTGACCTCTTTTTGATAATTCCCTGTATCACTTTGTATAACCAATACAAACAGATGATCATGCAAATAAGTAGAACAACAGCCAACACGACGAAAGCAATTGTCACGTAGAGCACTGTAATTGAGATCAACAACAAAAGATCAGTGAAAGAAACTTTTTTATACTTCTTATATTTTTGAAACGCACACTTATTTAAACTCTTCCCTTCCCCAAAACCCTCTAGGTGTAGTTCTCAGTTCTCTCTCATATTAGTGAACTCCTACCTGTGTCATCATCTCCTGACGATATGCCAAACAAAGTATTCAAATCATTTGCAGATGCTAAAAATAAAAAATAAATAATAATAATAATTAATGCAAAATTAGAACTTGTACCTAGGCCTTTATTTCCACTGGTCGGTTAATAATGAGTGGAAACTGGTTCAAGTGTGATATTTTGATTATATGACGTAATTTATAGTTGTTTGTCTGTAGTCGGATATTTATTTTGAACATTCAAAGTTTTTTAATTCATTCATCTATATGACATTCATATAGTTTTCTAGTCGCTTCCAAAGCATTACTTGAGACCAAATGAAGCGTTTGTTCCCTGCTTGACGTCATAGACCTATATGGCTAATCAAGTGATATTACCCCACTTTGCGTATGTCACGAAAAGAAAATATCTCATTTCTTATTTCTATTTGCGCCTTAGACACCTTTTATTGAAGAAACATCACAATTTTCAAAGAAAAGTTGTCGAAATTAAGAAGGTTTTGTTGGTATGCATAAGGTGGGCACCTGCAGTGAAATTAAACTAATGCGAGAGTCTCATCAAGCGTTAATAAAAATACTAATTATTATAATAAGTTTTGATAACCCCAAATGAATAATTATGAACTTGTAACCAAGACACGGTTAACTATGGTTAAAAACAGCTCCGATCTCTAACAGTTTCGACCTCCAACAGTTTCGACCTTCAATAGATTTGATTTGATTTACAAACTCATAATCGTACTCAGGCGGCTTGCCTGAAAATATCATGAAAAACTATAAGTGAATCAGTGTTTTCTGATAAACAATCCTTACGTTATTCTTAAAGAAACTAGAGAACCTTATACAGTACCATATCATTAGCTATCAAGCTGCTTAACTCTGTTAAACTCAAATCTCAAACAAAAACTCTCGTAGTATTCTAAGTATCATAAAATTTCTTTTTCTTTAGTATCATAAGACTAGGTCTGTCTCTACTTGGTGAATTTCTCGGTATACGACTTCAGTATTACAATAGTTTTTAGATAAGAATAATTGATGCCACTTACCTTTGTTTACTAGAAGTAAAAGCAGTAAAACAACTGAAATGCAGCTGAATTTTGTGACCATATTGTCGCCGATACAGTGATAAAAGTAGAGATTTAATAAGTTTGTATACTTCAGCTCTGGCGTCACGATGGATCGATATAAAGACTTATAACTTATTCAAACTATTTGAATTATTTCTTTGGTACGTCACTCTACTTAGGACAGGTTTTTGAGTTTATCAAAGAACGAAAAGAAGAACAGCTTATATGCAGTCGATAAACTGATCGAAAACAAGCTCGAGAGGGTTTGGGAACTCTTTGTCAGGCTAAAACACAGGAGAATAATACCTCAACAGAGTTTTGAAACCTGTAAACACAAAGTCTATAAACATGATGAACTCTTTCGTGCGTGTAATATGTAAAGATGATATTCATTCAAACTAATCTATAGAGCGTTTTCACTCACGTGACAAGGCAGCCATATTGATGTACAGTACCAAACAATAGAAACTTTCTCCACAGTTTTTGCATAAAAATAAAGTTCAATTCCCCGAAGATAGAAAGTGTAGTGTGTTGGTACACCAAGATGGCCGTTGTGACGTCACGTGAAAACGCTCTATAGACCTTTTTCGAGATAGCGAACATGGTGCATTGTGGTCTAGCTTCAGTAGGAACATCTTTTGTTCATCATGCTTCATGTCTATAGTCCCCTTGCAGCACGTCGGAATGCAGCTCAATTTTGAGGACAAACAATAGGTTTCCAATCATCAGGTCCCGGTTGTACGAAGGGCGGATAGAGAAAGTTTTAAAGTGAATATTATTTATTTCTATATATAGCGCTAGATTTTGTTTACAACTATTAGCATTGTGATGTTAGTTTGCCAACCATCATCAGAAATGTTCTTGCCAAGTTGCTTTGCTTCATCGGTTGGCAAAGACAATAGTTTACGCCACACCATGGATCTTTTTTCTTAGCTTTTTTTTTTTCTTTAAAAAAAAAAAAAAAATCAAATTTCTTATGTATCAGTCTACATATCTATCTGTAACTCCCTGAGCAACAAACTCATATATAGCTAACTAACGAGCATATTTTGACGCGAAATTTCCTGACACTTCAACAGAGGCGCACAGAAAATTTGGACGTGGAGGAAGTGAAGATTGGGGAGAGGAGGAGGGGAGGCTCTCCCCCAGTCCCCCTAGTTTCCCTTCCCATTGATTGGCATGTGACGGTAGAAGTCAGTGATGAAGGTAGATATAGTGTCGGGTAAAAATATACTCAGATTGTCTTTTCAAGTAAGTCTTCTCTTGCAAGATATATCTTATGACATGGCTTCAACTAATGTACTCGATCTCTGAAAAACCAAAATATCATCCAGTCAGTACTGATTGCATGCGGTGCTGTGTATTTGCGCACGCGCTCTGATAACCTTACTACTCGATGCATTGAGTCCGCCACGTTTGTAGGTAAGTCTTAATCAAAAATTGAACTTCTACATGCTGCCACTGATTTGTAGGGAAATGTGGACCAAATATTCTGCCTTTTTTTCGTTATAATCCCTTCTTGACATCAACGAGAAGAGTATTAAGGCTAAAAAATTTAAATTATTTTACAAGCTCCCGTGATTCAGGAAATACTTTTAATCAATGATGTTAAAATATATTCAAGATAAGTCCTACCGGCTGCATGCTCTTTGCCCTTGGAATAGGAACCATTCGGTGTGAATCAAGAATGAATTCATCAACTTCCCCACGCCATCGATCTACCTCTACGGAAGCTGCTTGCACTTGCCTTTGAATGAAAACAAGAAAGAAAGAAGTAACATCACCTCACTTCACCTCACCTCACCACACCTCACCTCAACTCACCTCACCTCACCTCGTCTCCTATCCCATCGCACCACATAACATCATCATCACGTCACAACACATCACCACACATCACACCACATCACAAGTTACTAACCTGTATCTTCTCTTGTATGATTGGTGCATCACAAACAAACCAAATATCACGAATAAAAGGGCAACACAGCTTATGATGAAAATGATAATCGCGGTATATAGCACTAAAAAATAAAAGCCAAACAACAGTAATCTTTTAGTTTCATCATTGACTGCTAAAAATGTGATGTGATGTGATGTGATGTGATGTGATGTGATGTGACGTGACGTGACGTGACGTGACGTGACGTGTTTCATATTTGCAGTAACTCGTTTAACATGCTC